TTTTTTTTTTTCTATAAATCTGCCAACTTCCGTTAAATTACTAGTCAAGGGGTAAAAAATACAGGAAAATACTTTTTTATTTTAGAATAATAAAAATTTTTTATTTAAAATTTATTTTAAAATAATAATCATTTTTATATTTTTAAAGAAAAATATTTTTTTACTTAAACATTAATATTATATTTTTACTTTAATTATTTATTTTATTGTGATTTAGGTCTCATTATTTTTTAGATACTATGAAAAAAATAAAATTACTTTTTATTGTGAATTTTTTTTATTAGTGGATGCTATACCTTTACATTCATCATCTTTCATGTTGTAATTTCTCACAATGAAGAAGTAATTCCTCACCATTAAAGGGACATTCATGATCCAACTAAAGGCTATTCAAATAGTCATCAAGGTGTCATTCAAGAGTCCATTAAGGTGCTATTCATTTTCTCATTTAATCTTATTCAATGACTAATGTAATCTCGCTATATCCCTTATCTTATATATATGCTTACAAATTTATATGATTGATACGTAAAAAAGTACATGGTGAAATAGGAAACTCTCTTTTTTTTGTCATCTTGCTGCTCAACTTCTTATTTTATAATACGTTATCAGCACAATCGTCTCTACCATTCAATTTGTGGCAAGCTCTTAAGGTAATCATTTGTTTTTCTAATTTAATTTTGATTTTATTCTAACAAATTTTTGCAGCCACAATATCAAATTATTTGCTATGAATACTTGATACTAAAATCCATTTGGCTACGAATAATCTTGGTGAAACAATTGTTAATGGATATCAAACCTTCTTACAAGCTTGCACTAAAGTGTTAATATTCCTTCGCCATCATCTCCATGACGGATTGAAAGTTGAATATTTGATAATCAAAGATCCATTTGAATTATCGCAAAGTTTGAAAAAAAGATATGATTACCAAAAATCGATGATACTGCCAAAAACTTGTTATGAATGAATGCATTTGTGATTGCAAGATTTTAAATCTGTGAGTGAGTATAACTCCACAGTATTTTGCATTTCATCTCAATTAAAATTGTGCGGTGAAAAAAATTATTGATAAAGACATGTTGGAGAAAACATTCTCAACTTTTCATGCCTCAAATTTGCTTTTTCAGCAACCATATCGAGAGCGTGACTTTAAAAAATATTCAGATTTGATATCATGTCTTTTTGTTGCTGAACAAAATAATGAACTTTTGATGAAAAATCATCAGTCACGGCCTACTAGTTTAGCCCCATTACTTGAGGCAAAGGCAACCTCATATAATAATATTGGGCGTGGTCGCAGTTGTCGCCGTGATCATAATCGTGGCAATAATCGTGATCGAGGGTATACTCGTGGTCGAAATAATACTTGGCATCATAGTGGTTTCAATCCTAAATATGAATTGGTTAAACAAAAGGATGTAAGGGGTAAAAATTTACAAAAGAACCCTGCAAAAGTTTTTAAACATTTTTGTTATCAATATGGAGCGAAAGGACATTTGGAACGTATTTGTCACACTGCTAAGCATTTGGTTGATCTTTACCAAGCCTCATTTAATGAAAAGGGAAAAGGAAAAGATCTAGAAATGAATTTTATTAAGCATAATAATATGGATTTTGATACAAACCTTAATGTTGCCGATTTTTTTTAGGCTGTTGAAATGTTTAATGGTGTTGGTGATACCCAACCAAGAGTTTAACTTATTATGTCTTAAATAATTTGCCCTTAATAGTTATTTTCCTTTTTCTATCTGTAATGTTCTTTTTATATTCAATAAAAGAATAATCTTTTCAGGATAAATATTGAATATTTGTCTCTTCTATTTTATTAGTCTTTATTTAAGACCAAATGGACTTGGTTGATGCTAAGATCAAAGATGGAGACCTACGTCTTGTTGATAATGGCACAACACATACCATCTTGAGAAATAAGAATTATTTTTCTCAATTAAAGTTAGCTGCAACTAATGTTCATACAATATCTAGTATGGCAAAATTGATTGAAGGCTTTGAAAAAGCTTGCATTTTATTGCTTAGAGGAACAAAATTATTAATATACGATGCTCTATATTTTAGTATATCAAATTGAAATCTACTAAGTTTTAAGGATATGTCGCAATGGTTTCCATATTGAAACCATGGATGAAAATGGAATAGAATTCCTCCATGTTACAACTTTTGCATTTGAAAAAAAGAAAATAATAGAGAAAATGTTAACATTCTCTTCTGAATTATATTACACATATATACATCTAATAGAATCCAATGCGGTGACTAATAAGAAAATAGTCAATCCAAATGCCTTTATCCTTTGGCCTAATTGACTTGGTCATCCGGGTGCTATTATGATGCGGAGAATTATAGAAAGTTCACATGGACACTCATTAAAGAACTTGAAAGTTTTATTATCAAGTGATTTTTCATGTGTTACCTGCTCCTTGGGTAAATTAATTACCAAGCCCTCTGCGACTAAACTAGAAAATGAATCTCTTCCATTTTTGGAACGGATTCAAAGATATATTTGTGGACCTATAAATCTGACATCTAGACCATTTCGATATTTTATGGTGTTGATAGATGCTTCAACAAGACGGTCGCATGTTTGCCTATTGTCTACACGCAAGGTTGCATTTGCAAGGTTGCTTGCACAAATAATAAAATTGAATGCACAATTTCCTGATTATACAATAAAAAGGATTTGACTTGATAACACATAAGAATTTACATCTCAATCATTTAATGATTTTTGTATGTCAATTGGGATTATTGTTGAGCATCCAATTCCTCTTATGCATACACAAAATGATCTGGTTGAATCTCTTATTAAGTGTCTGCAATTAATTGCAAGACCACTACTTATGAGATCAAAGTTACCCTCTTTTGCTTGGGGTCATGCTATATTGCACGCTACAACATTAATTCAATTAAGCCCAACTGCTTACCATAAGCATTCACCATTACAACTTGTTTTTGGGATTAAACCAAATATATCACATTTAAAGATTTTTGGTTGTGTTGTATATGTTCCTATTGCTCTTACACAATGCACTAAAATGGATCCCCAAAGAAGGTTGGGAATTTATATTGGTTTTGAATCACTCTTTATAATTAAATATCTTAAACCAATGATTGGTGACATTTTCACAACAAGATTTACCGATTGTTATTTTGATGAAAATTTGTTCCCAACATTAGGGGGAGAAGAACAAAAATTTAAAAAAAAAAAAAACAAAAGGAATTAACATAGGATGCATTATCTATTACTCACTTAGATCCTCGAATAGGTCAAAGTGAACTAGAAGTTCAGAAAATTATTCATTTGCTCATTTGCAAAAGATTGCAAATCAATTGCCTAAGATTGCAAATCAATTGCCTGATGCATTCACTGATGCAAAGAAAGTAACTAGTTCACACATCCTAGTTTTGAATGCTCTTGTTCAAATTAATATTCTTGTCAAAAAAAGTGCTAAGACAATAACAAATGAATCTATTATATGCCAGAAGTGTGGTAGACCTGTCGGTTCCAAAGATAAAAATCCAAAAATAAAGAGAAAGCAACATGCTGGCTCCACTGAAATTGTAGAGACTCGAGAGTTCTCTAAACAACAACTAGAAAATGCATATAGAGAAATAATCCCAGAAAAGGTTCAAGTTCTTGAAAATAATGAAGAGGCAAAAATTGTAGATAATGATGAGATCTCAATAAATTATATTTCCACTAGGATAAGGTGGAATTGAAATGATGTTGTCATTAACGATGTTTTTGCATTTGCAATAATAAATGGTATAGTCAATGAAAATGGGGGCCTTGAACCAAAATCCATTGAAGAATGCCGACAAAGAAGTGATTGACCAAAATGGAAAGATACAATTCAACCAGAATTGAAATCATTAGAAAAACGTTAAGTTTTTGGACCAATTTTCCAAACACCCAATAATAATGTAAAGCTAGTCGGTTATAAATGGATGTTTGTGAGAAAATGAATTGAGAAAAATGAGGTTGTGAGATATAAAGTCAAACTGGTAGCTCAAGGCTTTACACAAATACTTGGCATTGATTATGAGGAAACATATTCTCCTGTGATGGATGCAATTACATTAAGGTTTCTAATAAGTTTAGCAGTTTTTGAAGGCCTTTAAATATGCCTCATGGATGTTGTAATTGCTTACTTATACGGATCATTTAATAGTGACATTTATATGAAAGTTCCTGTTGGACTTAAAATGCTTGAAGCATACATCTCAATGTCAAGAGAAATATTTTCAAGGGAAATATTTTCAATAAAATTAAAACGGTCTTTATATGAGTTGAAATAATTAGGACGAATGTGGTACAATTGCCTAAGTGAATATCTCCTAAAAAGGATATGAAAATAATCCTATTAGCCCATGTGTCTTTACCAAGAGATCAAAATCTGGTTTTACTATTATTGATGTATATGTTGATGATATAAATATCATTGGGATACCTAGAGAGCTTGAAAAGGCAATTGAATGTTTAAAGAAAGAATTCGAGATGAAAGATCTTGGGATAACAAAATTTTGTCTTGGTCTACAGATTGAGCACTTATCAAATGGAATTTTTGTCCATCAATTAAATTATGTTGAAAAGATATTGAAGAGATTCTATATGGACAAGTCTCATCCTTTAAGCTCTCCAATGGTTGTTCTATCCCTTGATGTAAAAAAAGATCCTTTTTGACCTCGTGAAGATAACGAAGAAATTCTTGGTCATGAGATACCATATTTAAGTGCCATAGGTGCATTGATGTATTTAGCTAACAATATGCGACTTGATATTGCTTTTTTTGTGAATTTGTTGGCAAGATATAGTTCTGCACCAATACGAAGAGATTGGAATGGCATTAAACATTTATTTCATTATCTTCAAGGAACAAAAGACGTGCGATTATTTTACTCAAAACACTCAAAACTAGAGTTAATTGGATATGCAGATGCTAGATATTTGTCTAATCCACATAAAGGGAGATCACAAACTGGATATTTGTTCACATATGGTGTTACTGCAATTTCTTGACGTTTAACCAAACAGATCGTTGTTGCCACATCCTTAAATCAATTAGAATTGATTACTCTATATAAGGCCAGTCGAGAATGTGTATGGTTAAGATCTTTGATCCAGCATGTTTAAGAAACATGTGGTCTTAAAGCAATTACAGGAAATCCAACCTTATTATACGAGGACAATACTACATGCATTGCACAAATAAAGGAAGGATTTATCAAAGGAGATAGAACTAAACATATTTCTCCAAAGTTTTTCTCTACACATGAACTTGAAAATACTGGTGAAATAGATGTTCAGCAAATTAGTTCAAATGAAAATCTTGCAAATCTTTTCACAAAGGCATTGCCTACCAAAGTTTTTGAACAACTTGTACACAAGATATACATGCGACGTCTTAAAGAGCTTTGTTGAAGTGAGAGGGAGTTTTATACGTGCTGCACT